CAGCTCGGCGCATCTCTGTCTGATCGCGGCTCTTGTCTGCTGTGCGGCTGCCGGCTTGTGGAGCTCTCGGAGACCTCTGTGTTCCACCCGGTTTTACCCAGCGGTCAGCCCGGCGTATCTCTGACTCAGAAGCTCTGGTGCTGTGCACAGTTAACTCCGGTTGTAGCTAGGTTGCTACCTCCGTTAGCTTAGCTCCCACCTCCGCGTTAGCTTTGGGTTAGCTTCAGGTTAGCTTGTAGCTAGTTCGACCGGGTGTCGTCAGTTGAGCCCAGCCTTACAGCCACACCCTCAGCTCCACCTCTCTTCCCTTTTATGGAATTGTCTGGGCTTGACGGAACCTGTGACACGGTCAAAATGGCGGTGGTGGCCACCTCCCATTTCTCTTCAAAAATGTGTTACTGGAGCCTATGGAAACCCATTGTCCATATATGTATATGTCGATGGTCATGGTCTGCATTTGCGTCTCCCTCATGTGTCTCCTTGTGTGCTCCATCCCCCTCTAAGGATCCCCTTATGTGTCTCCTTGTGTTCCTCATGTGTCCCCTGGTCTGCAGCCCCTCCAGGTTATCCCTCCCAGGTCCTGTGCTCCCGTTGGTCTCCCCTAGTCACCCCTCTGCAGTTTTTCTATAAGGTTCAGCTTTTCATTTAATAAGTCTCTTTTAGTGTGTTTCTTTCCCCACCGGTTTTTTTAGTTCTCCTTCCTCCTTAGAACATGAGTTATTTAGCTCGCTCTTGTCTTTAGATGTTATTTTTGCTCTTAGGTCATTTTAGTTAGTTGGGGCGACGGTGGCACAGGAGTTAAGTGCTCACCCTGTAATCGGAAGGTTGCAGGTTCGAGCCCCGCTCAGTTTGTCGCTGTCGTTGTGTCCTTGGGCAAGACACTTAACCCACCTTGCCTGCTGGTGGTGGTCGGAGGGACCGGTGGCGCCAGTGCTCGGCAGCCTCGCCTCTGTCAGTGCGCCCCAGGGCAGCTGTGGCTACATTGTAGCTCATCCCCACCAGTGTGTGAGTGTGTGTGCGAATGGGTGAATGATACACTGTAGTGTAAAGCGCCTTGAGGGGTTCCAGGACTCTAGAAGGCGCTATATCAAATACAGGCCATTTACCATTTTAGTTTCCCCTCCTCAACTCACTTTCCTCTCCCTGATTAGGTCATTGTTTTCACTATTAGGTTTCTCTCCCCACACACCTGCAGCTTATCTCCCACTCATCCTGCCCCAGTGTATTTAACCCCGTCTGCTTCTCAGTGTGTTCTTGGGTCACTGTTTGTGTCAGCCTTGTCTCGTTCTCCCTCTCTAGATTTTGTATCTCTTGGTTTCTTACGTTCTTGGATATCTCTCGGTTTTGTTATTAGGACTTTTTGATTTTGGTTTTTGGCTCCCTGCCATTTTGGATTTATTCTTTCATAAAGGATTTTTACGTTATTTCTACCAACCCTGTGTCATCTGGAATCTCTGCATCTTTGGGTCCTAACCTCCTCGTGGCTCACAACGTGACAAAAGAGGTGGTTCGGGCATCTGGTCAAGATACCTCCTGGATGCCTCCCTGATGAGGTCTTTTGGGCACGTCCAACCAGGAGGAGACCTAAAGAAAGACCCAGGAAACGATGGAGAGACTGTTTCTCGACTGGCCAGGGAATGCCTTAGGATTCCCCCAGAGGAGCCGACGCAAGTGACTGGGAAGAGGGGCGCCTGGGCCTATCTGCTTAGGTTGCTGTCCCCACAACCCTACTCCGGATAAGCAAAAGAAAATGGATGGATGATAAAACATATTAAACTTAGTTTGACTTGAACATGAATAGTTACTACGTCCCGCTAAAACATTAATTATTCTTTAACAATTTTTAAATAGGTTGACTGAAAAGGTCAAATGAAAGCAGAATTTGTTTTTTTATTTATTCTTACAGATTCAGTGCGATGACTGTGACCGGTGGTCCATAGAGACTGTGTTGGAAAGCCAGACCCCACGAAGGCATACCACTGTGAAGCCTGTTGAAGAAAAGAAGATCGTCTGCACCCATTCCATGTCCTTTTCTGTAGCATTTTGCAAGTGTATTTTTTATGTTGTTTTCACATCTAAAAAGTTTAGTGCAAAAATAATGCTTTCATGTTCTAACAATTAAACACTAAGATTTCATTTGAATAATTATTTAGTTAGATTTTTGGAAAAGTATTCTACCTTTTTCTCACTTTTACCACATTGGGCATGGAACATGTGTGGCTGATCAAAGCTAGGAGGAAAAAAAATCAGTATAGTTAAAGATTAAAAAAAAAAATCATATGCACCCCTTTTCATATCATTTTCTGTCACATGTTGAAAGGGTATTTTTTCTGTTATCAGGAGAGCTAAAAGGTTCAGTACCAAAATGACTTTATGTCCTAAAAATCAAACGCTAACATCTTATTTTAAATAATTATAAATTTAGATTGCTGGATTTAATGTTGTGTTGTGGAGTGTCAATTGTTTTGAAGTTTTCTATTTGTTAAAATAAACATTTTGGTGCAAGTAAGTTACAGTAAGGTCACACAATATGATAGTGGCTATCACAGAATGTGGCCATCTGCATCTCAGTAATTATGCAGATGTCTTTAATTTTCACTAAACATCATAACAAAAGGCGTTTCGTGATGTTTGTGTCATTTTATTTCCCTTTTATCTCCACCAGTACATATGAGTGGCATTGGAGTGACAGAAAATAAAAACGTAGCAACCAGATAATCTGCTGTGGTTTCTAATAAACTGAGGATGCGGATCACAACAATTTATTTCAATAAATGGACGTTCTGAACATTTCACCTGCGGACCTCGCATGTTGTAAAATCAATGTTTAACGTTAGCAAACATTTCTTGTCAAAGCCCGGCTTATCGCTGCATTTATTGTCCCATTTGTTTGCAATAAACAGTAACAAACGCTCTTTTTAATATCTATGGTCCACGCCGCACAACTTCCTCAAAGCTTACGCAGTTCACGGTTTTAACGTAGCATCTTCTCTTTTATGCCAATTCAGGATGTACAGATGCAACAAAACGCAACATTGCCCCCTGGGGGTCACAAATTGTGATGGGTCGCAGAATTTGGTGTAACACCGGTCCTCGACTTCTCTATTTAACGCATACCTGTATAGAGCTCCGGGAGTTGACGTCACTTCTCCCGGCGTGCAACAGTTCAAATCGAAACGGCGCCATATTGGCAGGCAGAAGCCTGCAGCTGGACTATTTGTTATTGTCAGAAAACTCAATCAAATGGGAAATATGGTAGATTCCTGTTGTGCCCCAGGATGCAGAACAGACACGGACGACATAAGGAATGAGCCATCTACAGGATTCCCCAAGATCCGGAGCACCGCAAACGTTGGATCATTGTAATAAAACGCGCTAGTGACCGGGCTAAAATGAAGCTGTGGGATCCCGAGAGTAAAGGTTTTCACTTATGCAGTGACCACTTCATATCAGGTACTTAAACCAATGTTTCCTCAACTGTGTTTGGTATTTATTTTAAATGCTTTTATTACTATACTTAGTGGGCTTCCTAAACTTATTTTGGCGTGGCTTTTTCTGTCTTATTACTCATAGCAGCAGGTAAACAGCACGTAAAACGTTGCCTCGTGAGTTCTGCGTGCTGCCGTTTACGTGTTTAATGATCACAGCAATTAACCGGCTAAGCTGTATTTAATTTTAAGCAATGGTTGATCAATTGTCAGATCACACATAAGAAGCACTTTGGATTGCTATTATCTGTCTCACCGAGACAGATCTCAGACAGATCCTGAGAGGCTCCTGCCTGACATATTTATTTTATTCACGGAAAAAAAATCAAACTAGTGATTTCTCTTGGCATTCAGTTTATACATTCAAACAGCACAGCACTCTACTTACATGTAAATCTATGTTATTTGTCCATCCACCCATCCATTTTCATCCACTTATCCAGGGTCGGGTTGCGGGGGCAGTAGCCTAAGTCGAGAGGCCCAGACTTCCCTCTCCCCTGCTACTTGGGCCAGCTCCTCCGGGGGAATCCCAAGGCGTTCCCCAGCCAGGTCCGGTAAGAAGTCTGCTCCACAGCTTCTGGCGTTTTTAAAAAGTATCCCAGGGGCACGGTAAGGGTTGGAGATGTTTAGTCTATTTAATTTCTGACTATATACAACGATTTCTTCAGTTTTAAAGTGTGAAGTAAACTCCGACGAAGTAAAATCCAAGCCGATCCCGTTCAATTTGTTTACCTTTGTTGCCTGCCAACATGGTGTCTACTCTCTGAGAGTCACGTGACGCCCGGAGCTCTACACTTGGCACCCTTTTGTGATTTGAACATGTTGTTTAACACTGTCTTTCTCCCTAACTGGCCTCTTCTCTGCGACATACTGTTCATTTTCACGTTTTGTTTACACCCATATGGCCATCAACATGTCTGCACACATCCCAGAATGCGACACATAATCACGTGCAATATTTTGAATCCTATTAGGACAGAAGGAAAAAAAATAAAACTGGATTTTTAAAGTTGTACATGAGGAGAGAGCAGCGCCACGTGCTTTTCACATAAAAATAATGATTCTGTCGAGTGAAGAAGTTTGTTTGTTTTCATTTTATTTGCTTAGTTTTGCAAACATCTCCTTGGACGTTTGGAAGTGTTAAAGAGTTTCGCCATAGAGACTTTGTCGCCTGTTTGTTCCCACCACGCCTCCAGTGATCCCATAATAGAATTTGCTAAGATAGGAACAAAAAGGAAGCGACTTCCTGTCTTGTTGAAGATGAAAGAAATGGAGGAGCTGTTCTTCTGGAAGAGGTGCTGAAAACTTTAAAAGGTTTCTGTTACAAAACGCCCCTGAATGCATCATGGGAATTTCTTTGGGACTCCCCCATCTCTTCATCTGTCTCTTTCACTCTGCCTGTGACACCCCCCCCCCCCCCTCCCGCTCTCTCTCTCTCACACACACACGCGCGCGCGCGCGCACACACAGCTGCATGCACGCACCCCCCTCCCAGCCGCTCTGCGCTGCAGCCTGCAGAGTTTTCCGTCCAGTGTCGGAGTAACATCGTAAAGGAGGACCACCTGACGGTAGGACCGGACTCAATGGAAGCAGCGGAGAAAACTCTCACTTACCGAGATGACACCGGACTAAACAGAAAGCTGCTCAAACACGACACATTTGAGATGAAGGACCACGCAACGGCCGAGTCCAACTATGTGGATCTGGACATGAAACCCGACGGACCGAAAACGGTGAAAGTGACTTTCACCGGCGACGGAAACCAGCTGTCTGTCATTAAAAGCGACGGCAGCTCAAAACACGAGGAGAAGAAGAAGGAAGCCAGCTCAGACGAGGACAAGCATCACGCTGTCCTGATCGAGTCCGAGTCTCTGTTGGAAACTGTAACCAAACTTCCCAACGACACCGATCCTGACTCGGAGACCGAGAAACGGGCCGATCTGGACTCGAGTGAGTGTGGCGAGAACGCCTGCAGCGACGGCGATGAGCTCCGGTACACGGACATGTGTCGGGACAGCAAGACGGAGTCCGATGACGGAACCAGCGCCGAGCTGTCCGACCACTGCGGTTCCGACACCGTGGAGGACGATTCCCACTATATCACCACGCACGAAATCCAGTTGACGGAGCTCGACCACGACGTGGATTACGACCTGGGACGCGGGACTCGTTGGGAATTCGAAGACGGAAACCTGGTTTACTCGTTTGTGGATTACGCGTCTTTCGAGAGCGACGAAAGCCAGGAGGGGACCGTGGTTGTGGAGGGCAGGAGCCAGGTGAAAGTGCAGTCTAATCTCGGAGGAGCGACTGTCAGCACCGAGCAGGAGGAGAGTGATCTGTGCGACTCGGACAAATGCGCCAGCTCGGATGAAAGCATGTGCAGGAACCAAAGCGGGGACAACCCTGCGAGGAAAATTCACCTGTCGATCCAAACCTCCTCCAGGGCGCTGAACGAGCCCGTCAGCGTCTTTGACAACAGCACCTGGCACACTAAACCCCACGGAGACAGGAGCCACTTCTCCTTTGTGAGCTCTGGCGCCAGAGCTGCGCCCCTGTGCGATAGAGGTCAATATTTCATCCCTGCTCCGGGCCGTCAGCACCTCGCCACCAAACTGAGACGGAAAGATATTAATGAGTATTCCAGCGGAGCTTCCAGCTCTATCAGTGAGCTGGACGACGCTGATAAAGAGGTGCGTAACTTAACCGCCAAGTCTTTCCGAAGCCTGGCGTGTCCATACTTCGATGCCATCAATCTTAGCACCTCCAGCGAGTCTTCTGTGTCTGAATATGGGCTAAATAAATGGTCGGCATACGTAGATTGGAATTATGGCAAAGAGCGCAGCGTAATTGCGCACAAGACATCAAGCGCCACTTTGGAAATGAGTAAAAATGTGGATAATAGGGGGCATAATAAATCTATTACTAGCATGAACGACTCACAAACCAGATTTTATTCCCTCAATAAAAGACTAAACTCTCAGCTAGCAGCACCTTCCAGTAAAAAGATCCAAATGAAAGATCATGTTCAGCCGGCGCAGCGCGGAGTCACGTTAAACGTTCACTGTAATGGTCCCAGGGGTCCCAAATGCCCCCAGAAAGCGCGACCCAATCAGGTCAGCGGGACCGCGTCGGCCAGGTCCGGCTGTGAGATGGAATGTCTGCACACGAACAGCTCGGGGGACACGCACAAAAGGGCGATTTTTGCATCGAGTCTGTTGAAAAACGTGATTTCCAAAAAGATGCAGTTTGAACAGGAGCGCAAAATGGAGAGGGGGGAAATCCATGACTCCTACCCACCAGTTTCACCCAGTTCTCTTATAAATAACTCAGATGGGACAAAAGAAAAGAGTCCAAGTCAAAGTTTACACAGGCAAAGCTCAGAATCCGGTTCTGCATGTACTGCTGATGATCAGCACGCAGAGGGAGGTAGACCCGGTTCTTGTGGGTCTGCAGAGGAGATAAAAGATCCCGGCACCCATAAAGCAACACACATCCAAAGTCAAAAGGGAGCTGAGCCTCAGTCTGTGAAGGAAGCCGAGCCTGCATCTTTAAATGATTCACAAACAGCGTCTAAAGAAGGAGCGGACACCAGCAGCATGCTGACCAAACTTCTCTTTGTTCCGAGCTGCCAACTTCTCTCGAAGGACAAGAAGCTTGCAGAGGATTTAACACGACACACACTCGACTCAGGTGCACCTGCATGCTCCCAGAAATGTGACAAGGACACGATACAGATCAAAGGAGGTGAAAAAGCAGGGAAAACACCCGAGATTAAAATTTGTCTGAGAAAAGTGAAAGAAAACCAAGGCTGCACACTGAACATAGCGAATCTGTTAACTCCTAAAATAAGTTACAACGTCAGGAAGTTCCGAGCAGCGGACGAGAGCAAATGTCAGGTTCTGTCTGCGACAGAAAAGGTCCCAAACTTCACAGTCAGAGACGTCAGAGAAACCAAATGCAAGTTCCAAACGCCGATCTATCAGGTTAGGGATGTACGTAAATTAGTAAAGAGCTCATATCGTTTTGTTTCTTTGGATAACGGTGACAATAAATGCTCCACGGCAGCGTATACACTTGAGAACAAAGCCAAAGCGGAGCCAGTGAAACATGTGTCGCCTTCTCCCATGGTGATCAAATGCAACTCTGTTAAAACAAATGTTAAATCACAGATGACTGAGGCAGCTCGAGCTGAGGGGGACGGCCCGCCCACTTCTGAAAGTGAAAACACATCTTCAGCCTGTGCCACCGGCAGGATCAGGCCGGATCAGCCAGAGAGTCAGCCTAATCCCGAGTCCAAACTGGGAAAACAGAGGCAGGACGAGAGGAGGAATGATGCTGTCGTGCCAAAACGGGATGCTATGGAGAAAATCAAAGCTGCAGTTAAAACCATGGAGGAGCTTTATGTGTTTGATCGAAATGAATGGAAGCGAAAAAATCGAGCCGCTGATCCGGTCGCAGACAGTCATGTGCTGTCCCTCCTCGCCAGGGAGGAGCGGGGATCTGATGAGCAGACTTTGATAAGCGCCGCAGAGACGGAGAGAACACAAGGAGATAAAAGAGCTCTGAATATCATTCATGTTCCCTACAACAGGGACACGTTTAAAACACAATCCCCTCCCAGTAAAACTGTCACTAACAAAAGCGTCCTTCATGTTGGGAACCGTAGCGGTGTGAGCATTAACTCAGATGATCACCAACAAAGCTCAGCTTTGCAAAAACCAACCGCTACACAGAGCTCCAAAACGGCGGTGAAGATCGAGCCACCAGCGTTTGAACTCACCAGTAACACCATCAGCTGCTCGGACTCAGAAAACTACTTAACCATGCCAGGACTGGGGCTTTCGAATGAAAACAAACTGCCAAATGAAGAACATGCTTCCAGCAAACCTGAGCAAAAGAGGTCACCTTTGATCGTGGAGGACCCAGCTGCAACCATCTACCACCACCCAACTGTAGCAACAAGTCCTCTTACGCAGCACAAGGTGTTGTGTTTCTCTCCATCTGTCCCCACTGTGTCCCCCGCACCTCCTGCAGGAGACACAGTCCCACAAACCCAGCGTAAGATGCTTTTGGATCCCACAACTGGACATTGTTACTTGGTGGACACTCCCATAGCGGCCACCACTAAGAGACTGTTTGATCCAGAGACAGGCCAGTATATGGATGTCCCTTTACATTCACCTGTGGCTCCTATCACACCTGTGCCCATCTCATTGTCCCCACTGGCTCTCAGACCAGGAGCATATACCCCCACCTACATGATCTACCCCGCTTTCATCCCCTCACCGCCCCTAATGGCAAAGGCAGTAATGCCACAGTCCCCACATCACCATGAGGATGCATCAGCAAGAAATAAGACGGAGAACACCGGGAGTCCTCAGCTGAAGGGCGGCACAGCAGAGAAGGTGTATTACAGTGCAGTGGGAGAAGCTCCACAGCTTCACCTGCCTGTGCATTTGGGACACGTGAGCGCCAGAGGAGGTGGATCAAGCTCCGACAGAGAGGGACTTATCAGCATCACAAAACAGCAGGGTCCAAGAATCGTGGTCCCACCCTCTTTTGATGGAAAAACAATGAGTTTTGTAGTCGAGCACCGGTGACCAAGACAACCTCTCCTCCCGATTGTAAGTTTACACTATAAATACTTGAAATTTACTCAGAGCAGAAATTTCTGTGTAAATCATCAAAACTTGCTAATTTTCTTTAATTGAAAAAACTGCTCATCCCTCATTTAACTGTACACCATCTTGTAAACAAACTAATACATAAATAACTGTTCTACAAGCCCACAACATTAGAATAAAAAAAACATAAACCAATTTCTAATTTGGTGTACGTATATGCGGCGTTGTTATGTCCCTTAAAGAGCAAGTCACCCCCTACAAGAAACTTACTTCACTCCCACTTCATGTTTGAAAAATGCAACAAATGCTGTTGCCTGGCAGACCGAGAGGGCGGAGCCGCTAACAAATTCACACACACACACACAGGCTCACAATGGCATTATGACATCATAATCTATCAGATGACATCATAGCATACCTCTTAGCCAATAGCGGTGGCAGATTTAAATTCAAATACAGTGCACAACTTTTCCCTGACGACGGCGCAACACTTGACAGTTTTAGACAGAATATTTGAATTTTAACCAAGATGCACTGAACTGCCAAATTATTGACTACACGTGTCTGTAGCATGATTAGACACTCCTTTATATAGTTCATCAGCAAAAAAAAAAAAAAAAGTGATTTGGGGGTGACTTGCTCTTTAAAGTGATAGTGTGTTTTCCCTGATGATGGGGGCGGTATATACCTAAATCATTGCAAGCGAGCGGTATTTTCATGTTTGAGTAGTTGAGTACCTTACCAACAGATGGCCATTAGGCCAACCTCCAGCAAAATGACAAGCACCTTTCATTTCTGGCAACGAGCAAACAGGTAAATGTGTAAAACTATAACATATATGAATGGTGAAAATGTTCTAACCGCTTGTTACAAATGAATCAGTAAATGCATTTCGTCCCCACGGGCTCCCGTAGACGGAAGCATTGCGTCGCCCAAAGATGAGGTCACGTTCACACTGCAGGCCTTGAAGCTCAATTCCGATTTCACGAGTAAATCTGATTTTTTTCTATGGCTGTTCACTTTATGACTGAAATGTGACATCAGACTCTCCAGTGTGAACGTTTTACGACCCCAAAGTGACCCAAAAGCGCAGAAAACAAGAAGTCACGCACGTTGGAGTCGAAACCAGAGGAGGCGGAGCCTTCAATGGCAGTTCATCCACAGTTTCGGGATCACACCTGTCAAGTCTCCCAATTTGGCCTGGAAATTGTTTTAAAAACTGTAAAGTTTTAAGCCTTAATCCCGCCGTCTTCCTGAATTATTCACCGACATTGTATCGGATTTGAAAAAAATCTGATCTGTGCCATTCAGACTGTCATAAAAAAATCACATATGGGTCACATGTGGGGGAAAAAAATCTGATTTTATGCGCTTTTGCCTGCAGTGTGAACATAGCCTATTTCAGACCTGATTTTTATAAAGTTGCCAATATTTTTCAACAACTGGGCACCATTTAATTCATTTTCAACAACATTTTGATGGATATTTCCAGAGATTAATGGTAAAAGCTACACATTGTCTTTATATACTAGAAAATAACTTTTTATAAGTGACGATGTTTTACATTTGATGACTTTTTTTTTGAAAACTAAAATAATATTCCTTCAAAAAAGAACCATAAGCTACATTTGCACTTTTTTACTTTCGTACAAAAAAGGAAACAAAATGCTATATTAAAAAAAATAATACCTCCATGGGGCGTTTAGAGGTGTGCAGAATAAGAATACAGTTTTTTCTTTAAATGCTATATTTTAATTAAAAAATTATCATGATCATAATCAATATTTATTTTGATGGGCACCAATAGAGGGCACCATTGCGGGTTGCCAAACAGTCCACTCGGCACAGAGAGGCTGGCACGGTGGAAAATGGCAGACTCTGCAAGTCAAGCAGCTGCTTCTGAGCCCAGAAGATGTCATTATCCTTCTCCAAAGAGGAGTGACCATAAAACATCCAAAACCAGAGTGAGATTAGGTGAAGCCTACAACAGAAAGACCCAAATGAAACATTTCATGTATCGGCAGCGAAACTGGTATCCCGGCAGCTGGAAACCCTGTTTTACTGTTGCAACTACAACTTCCACACACTAGATGTCACTTTGGTGTTTGTGTTCCATATTTCACCTTTAATGCAAACGAAAAAATCAAATTCCCAATTTCATGAAGTCTATTTGAATCTGACAAGGATTAATGGAAAAACAATAGTCAGTAAGGAAACTTAATTTTTTTGTGTTTATGCAGCAGCTAAGGGCTTTTATGTTGTTTAGAGTCTCCATTTGAATGATTGTGTATTTAGAAACAGCTTTTTAACACAAAGACTGCAACAGTTTAATTGGATCTCCTGGTTGGAGAGCATTTTTCATGGTTTTCGTGGGTAAATGTCTCTCAAACAGCAGTTCCACTCGGCCACTTCAGCCAAGTGTTAATAGACATGCAGTAGCTTCATGACAGGCAACCTGACTCTGCTGAACTCTACTGGGAGTTTGGATTTTCATCCACGATCCAAAGCTTTTTCCTGCATTACACATCGCCGGGCTATTTTAATGGCATGAGACCAGTTTGTTTACACGGCTGAATCTCAGGGTGTCACAGGAGACTATTCTCATCAGTGACACTTACATTATGCTTTAGGTTTCCTGTAAAGCATTTATGATAATCTGATAAAACATATATGAATGAGCAGAATAAATGTGAAAATAATAAATGTAAAACTACGTGTTTTAGCTCTGTTGCCTGGCCACCCTGCCTGTTGTCATGAATGCACAACCCCTTCTGGTTGTAATGCTTCCAGAATGAGTATTAGTGTTAGTGCTTTCATCACAAACCTGCCACATCCACTTCTATACATTTATTTCTGCATTACTGCTATATTGTTAATAGAAATACAGAACACATAGTTGTTATATTAACATTATATTACAATGATATTCCAAATATCCAAAGAAAAATTGTACCTGTTGCTAAATTCCCTAAAGTTAGATAAGTAGGAAAAAACTATTTGTAACCAGCCCATTCTCCTGAAATGGCAGTACATTTTTAGCTTTAGCTTAGCATAAACAATGTAAGTGAATGGTACCAACTAGCCTTGGTACCATGTCAAAAAGCCATGCCCTGCTGCACAAATCAACAAACGGTGTCAGTTCATAAACAGAAATGATGTATGGTAAACTACCAACACATTTATTAATATCTTGTTTTATTATTTGCATTAGATTTATGTAAAAGAATACATAAAAAATGAAACTGAAGATGAATTAAAACGTCCATTTTGTGTTACATACAGCGGGATGCGTAAGTTTGGGCAGTCTTGTTCCTTCATGATTTTCCTTTATAAATTGTTGGTTGTTACGATGAAAATTTTCAGGTAAATATATCATATGTGATATTTGAGAAATGAAACAGCGTTTATAGGATTTACAGAAAGTGTGCAATTTTGCACGTGGGGTTCGGGGCCGCCTATTGAGTACCGCTGCTCTAGACACTTCCTATAGCTTCCAATGAGATTCTGGCTGAGGGTATTTTGGACCATTCTTCTTTACAAAAAATCTCTAGTTATTTCAGCTTTGATGGCTTCTGAGCATGGATGGCTCTCTAATTCACACCACAGATTTTCAATAATATTCAGATCTGACGACTGAGATGGCCGTTGCAGAACGTTTTACTTGTTCTTCTGCATGAATGTCTTAGTAGCTTTTGAACAGTGTTTATGGTCTTCTTGTTTAAAGATCCATATTCAGCTTTGTCACTGGTTCCTGGACATTGGTCTCCAGAATCTGCTGCTATTGAGTGGATTCCATGCGTCCCTCAACTTTAACAAGATTCCCAGTCCCTGCACTGGCCACACAGGCCCAAAGCATGATGGAACCACCACCATGTTTTATTGTTGGTAGCAGATGTTTTTCTTGGAATGTCATGTTTGTAAGGCCTGATTCTAGCTGAGCTGGACCGGAGCGAGAGTTCGGATTGCTGCGTGTATTTTGACCCAAGCGCGGAGTGACTGACGCCGGGCAGATTGACACGCGTTTGCTCTAGGAGTCAAACCGTACAAAGCTAGTGAGCACGGCGGCTCCAAAAGGAAACAAGCTGACTTACTGTGAGTCGGCAGGGTGAGTGGCTTGGGCTGATCTGGTCAGAACAGGCTTGAGTAATCCGATAGGATCTGGTGGGAACTCGGAACACAGTCTGGTTAGGAACGATGACTGAGTGGTTTGGTGTTGAGCTGCACTTCCTTATGTAGACGTGGCGGGTGACGTGAGCCGGAAGGCTGGCGCTGGGAATGCTGGGTAGTGGAGTTCGACTGGGCTGAGTGAGTGTGGATTCCTCCGGGGGAGGATGGCGAGGGTTGAGAAGGAGGCAGCGTGACAATGTTCTTGTTCCTCCATGCATAACGCCCCTTGTTATGCCCAAATAACTCGATTTTAGCTTCATCATTCCATAGCACCTTATTCCAAAATGAAGATGGCTTGTCCAAATGTGTTTTAGCATACCTCCGGCAGCTCTATTAGTGCTGTGGGCGGAGAAAAGGCTTCCTCTGCATCACTCTCACATGCAGCATCTCCTTGTGTAAAGTGCGCCCAATATTGAACAATGCAATTCCATCTGCGGCAGGATGATGTTGTAGGTCTTTGTTGCTGGTCTGTGGGTTGACTCTGACTGTTCTCACCATTTTTTGCTTCTGCTTATGTGAGATTTTTCTTGGTCTGCCACTTCGAGCCTTAACTTGAACTGTGCCTGTGGTCTTCCATTTCCTCAATATGTTCCTAACTGTGGAAAAAGACATCTGAAATCTCTGAGACAGCTTTCTGTATCTTTCCACTAAACCATGATGGTGAACAATCTTTGTTTTCAGGTCATTAGAGAGTTGTTTTGAGAACCCCGTGTTGTTACTCTTCAGACAATACTCAAAGAGAAGGAAAACTTACAACTGGCCCCTTAAATACTTTTTCTAACGAGGAGGTCAAGGGTCACTGAGCTTACCAAAGCAATTTTCAGTTCCAATAATTAGTTCTAAAGTTTTTGGAGTCAATAAAATGACAATGGTGCCCAAATTTATGCAGCTGTCTAATTTTGTTTAAACAATTATTGTACACTTTCTGTAAACCCTATAAACTTTATTTCACTTGTCAAATATCACTGTGTGTGTCTCCTGTATGATATATTTAACTGAAATGTTTTATCGTAACAACCAACGATTTATACATGAAGATTAACAGGGCTGCCCAAACCTTTGCAGCCCACTGTATATCTGTCAAGCAAAATAAATAAATAAATAAACAGAATTTCAGTGATGTTTATGAAATTATATTTAAACCGTGCAACCGATTTAGCTGCTTTTGCTTCTTACACACTTGCATCTACCCACTTACACCTGGCAGAAGACCATTTCACAACTAATGTGTCAGAGTAATAACACAACTGCGTGGGCATGGGGGATACATGTCAGCTGGGTGCGTGGCAGGACTGGGCCTCAAATGGGGTTGTGTGGAAGTGTTAGGGGAGCGTAGGCCCTGTGTGTGTGTGTGTATGTGTGCGTGCGTGCGTGCGTGCGTGCGTGCGTGTGTGTGTGTGTGTGTGTGTGTGTGTGTGTGTGTGTGTGTGTGTGTGAGTGAGGGGGGGTTTCGGGTGGAGGGACATGGGGCATGGCTGGGATAGTGATGCAGGAGGAAAAGGTCAGGCAATGCAAAGTATTTGTTGTGCTGATGCAGGGAGAGGACAGCTGCTCGGAGAGATCAGATGCTACTGCAGCTCTGGCTTGGAAGCGAGTCTGCTGGACTGCAAGGGGGTCAACTTTTTATAGCCCCCCACCCCCACCCCCACCCCCCATCCCACATGTCCCATCCCTGAATATTCCTAAATGGGCAGAGGGAGGTAGAAATGGCTTGCCGACCTCCTTAACTTCTGTTTAACCCTTACCCAACGTTTACATTTTCTAACGTTAATGTTGTTTGAGCACAAAAAAATGGTTTAATGTGAGGTAAGGGTTAAACACACCAATCTGCTCGACCTCAGCGGTGACCTGCTCGGATGAAGACTTTGTCTTTTAGTCAACAACATTTTTTACTCATGCTATCTTTTTTCCCATTGCCTCTAGATATCTCTGCTGAAGAGTCTGCCTTCATTTACTGTGAGTGCAGTTTTCACCCCTGTGATCCACTGTCTGGACGACTTCTACTGTCACCTCTGACCCGTGTCCCTGTTCTGTTGTTTATCATGTTATCTGTATGCATTGGAGCACTTTGTAGAGTTAAAGTTTTCTTCCATGCCCTCTGGTTGACGTTCTGATATAAATCGGCTTTGTTAAACTTTCCATTCAGCTGCTTTGTAGAACATGATCCCTGTTTAAATGCTGTTTTTGCCCTGCTGTGTTTTCAAAGGGAAACAAAACAGGCCTATTGCAATAAAGGATTTATTGTTTGATAATCTATTTCATGTCAGACAATAAGTTTGTTCTTGCAAATAACTTGATATATAAAGCAAACATCATCACTAAAGTCAGAAGGTTCACAGTAAATTCAAGATTACAGAGTATTCTGGTACTATTGTTATTATAGGATGTCATAAACTACATCTGTCTTATATTAGATGAAAAGCAAAATCCAAACAGTAGACCTGATAATGAAGCAAGTTTGTTGACTGCACCCCAAACTCAGAACTGAAAAACAAAATTATGCTGAAATATCAGGATGCTCAAGTTTTGGATCAGCTGTCTTCATTTTGCAGAATCCCAGAGGAGATCATAAGATCATTGGAGTAGTGGAAAGCTCTTGGCCTTAGACATTTTGCGTTGGGTACGGTGCTAGGGATCTCCAGTAGGGTTGTGATTTTATTAAACACATGCATCGCCAGGTTATAAAAACCTGGGCTGGGCTACCATCTCAGAAGTCATGAGTAAATTTCACCACCAATAGCTGCAACATAGAGCCTTTTTACATGACGCAACATAAGATATGCATGGTTGGAAATCATGGGAAAGCCTGTTCTGTGATGATCTGGACAACCTACAACATTTGTCTGGGTCCTTTTCAGACTTCTGATGTAGATTAAAATATAACAGGCTGGAGCCCACAATACCCTGAAGGAATTACAAACCCTATCAGGGCTGGGAAAGGTCCTCCAGGAAAAACTGGGAATGTGTTGAGGAGAAGAGCACATTAGAAACTTTGTGTAGAATAAAAAATGTATGAGTTGGCATGTTTGTCAAGTAGCAATATATATATATATATATATATATATATATATATATATATATATATATATATATATATATATATATATATATATATAAAGTTTGTTGAGTCAAACTGGTAAATGTTTAGGGGAGCAGTTTAGCTAGTTTGTTATAAATGCAAACTGTTGTAGGTAACTCTTTAGGATACACGAGCTAATAGATTCACAACAGCTAGCCAAAGCTGATAATAAAGTGAATTTCTGACTTCTTACAAAAATGTCCACTTTAAAATTTCATAGCAGTTTATGAAATTGGCATCAGTTTTGTATTTTATTGTAATTATGGTGGGAGTATAATTATTCTGCTTGATGTTTCTCACGTTGCACTTGAAGCGCTAAAGCTAGCTGCTGCTGCTATTTTATTAACAAAGTTCATCATAAATAACCATCGAGTGTGATGTTGAAAACACTATTTTATACACCAGATATGAAATTGTGAGACTGGAATTTTTAAAAATTGTTTTACTCCACTTTGTTTCACCCTGATTGAGCTAACCGTTAGCATGTCAGCCCAGTCAGGAGAACTAGTCTGTTTCTCCACAGAAAACGGTTTATAACTCATGCATTGTAAAATATCTGGAATTAACTTTAATTTGGTTCAGTTAGCATGACAATGCAATTAAAATGAATATTCAGCACATCTTTACTATCTGAAAACAGGGACCATTTATCTGAGCTGAATATTTAAATACACTTTTTTTTTTTTTTTGTGACTGTAAGAAGAATTAAAGTAAAGAATCCACCTCAGAAATGATCATTTGAAATTAGTCTGGTATGGTTGTGTTTCATATCGCTACACACACCTTCACAGAAACACATCCATGTCATTCGGTGTCTCGTGTTCTGCTGGAAGCAACCTCGTTGTCATAGCACACAAAATGCTCCTAATACCCAAGCACAGCTGACGTGTTCTATGAAGTGGTTCATGTAAACAAAACATGCTTCTTGTATGTTACAGTGAGAGGAGAAGATGCTGTTTGGGTGAATCAGAGCTGGGGCTCAGGTTCAACTGTGTACTTGTGTGACTAAGTAGCGTTGGGCCTAATGAGATGGAGTCAGCTGAGAAATTTAGAGGACAACTTCCTCTATTTGCATTGGTTCAGTTTACACTTTTGTGTAATGAGATGGGAGCTTGTGTGTGTGTGTGTGTGTGTGTGTGTGTGTGTGTGTGTGTGTGTGTGTGTGTGTGTGTGTGTGTGTGTGTGTGTGTGTGTGTGTGTGTGTGTGTGTGTGTGACTGTGAGCTATGTGAGGCATTTCAGCATTCTGTGAGTACAACAAGGAGTTATGTTACTTCCCTGCAAACAGGATCACACAGAGCAGATATGTGTGAAGTGTGTCTTTACACTTTACACACAGCAATACCAGACCACTTCCATGTGAGCTGTCTGAGGTGAGATTCATGTCAAAAATAAAACAGGATTCCTCTGATGCTGATGTTATTCTATCCTGTTTCCATCTGAATCCATAGCAGGGCTTCACTAGTCTCCGACTCGCATCAAAATGATGCCAACCAAGGATTTGTAAATTTCATTTCCAACACGTTTAAAAACGAAGCTCAAATTCAAGGTATCTGGAGCTGCTGGTCAGTCTACATGCCTCCATGTAAATCACACATGACTTGTGCATTTTGCAAAAAGTGAGAGCTGTTTATGTTTGGTAGATCCATGTGGGCGCTTTTGAAACCGTTGTGTTGACATTTCAAAAGCTTGCTCTTCAGAGGTTTGTTGCTGCTGGTAGATTTGATGCAATTTGAGGTGCAATGTAGCTTAAAAATGTTGAGACCAGTTTAAGTAAAACTACTGAGGCTGTTAGCTGTAAGATTTAAATGAAATATATATTTGCAGTAAATAAAGAAACACAGTGTGAGCACATTGAAATGGAGAGTCCTGGTATTTACTTTATCTGGATAAAACTGCATACATTTTTCTAAATTTAGGACTTTGTTTTAGCTCATTAACACAGAAAGAAAACCAGTCACATTAGATTAAAAGACATTACTCTGATTTTCTAGGTTGTGTAAATTAGTTATTCTGGGGTAAATTTAAAGCAGCAATCTGAAGTTTTCCCCCCCTTTCAGGAATTATGTAAGATTCTTTAGAAATCCATAAAATGATAGTCTTACCCTGTACTGTGATATTATAAAGGCATTATGTCTTTTTGTTTTTGTTTTGCTAAGATCACCCACTGACCTGTGGAACCCCATGCAATTTGAATTGATGGCTGCGCATTAGGCAATAGGGAGTCTAAGTACACCCATACTTCTGAACCATGGGCTACCGGAAGAACGAAAAAATGAACACAAGTAAATGTGGCAAAAAAAAAAACGCTATTTTCTAATCTCGTTTGTTATGTGCCATGGATTTCATAAATTATGTTTGGGAATTTATTTATTTATTTATTTATTATGCCAAGAATGCACTTATTTTTGATTGGGGAAAACGTTATTAAAGATTTGTGTGAAAATGCGTCCAGGACTACAAATGCGCATCACCACATTGACATCATCGAACCAGACAAGGAGAAAAGCTGAGGAAAAATGGCTGTAAGTTCAGCAAACTTTGAATTCTTCCCTCAGGAGGAAAGAACCACCACAAATCTGGCCATTTGGTAAGTAGCAGCTACGCTAGGGCAGAGGAGATTCTGTGGTGACGTCATATACGCGACGAATCGACGTCTGATGTGTAGTCATGCTAATTACAAACTTTTGCAAGCTGATAAATCTCAAAGTACGTGACTGGCGTGGTCGAAACACGTCATTACTTTTTATGTAAATTGTGGTACAACATATGTGCGATGCAGGGCGTAGGGCAAAGCGGGTTAGAAAATTGTTTTTTCGCCCTATTGACTTGCATTCATTTTTTCGTTCTTACAGGTATTCATGAGCCGCCCGGAGGCTCCCTATAGTGTTTGACATCCTTTTACATACAGATGTCATTCACAGAGTGGGCACGAGTGTTTGCATAAAGTACCTCGACTGCAATCACAAAAGTAGGGAGAGGGGCTTAAAGTGCAGTACATTGTTTCACCTCTAGATGGTGCCCTCTGACAAAAAAACTCTGGATTTCTGCTTTAATTATAAATAATAATAATTTCACTTGTGCCTCCTTTTTTAAGAAAAACGTGTGATCTGTGAATATAATGGTACTAATTGCACTCAGACTGCTGCTACTTTGTCAACAACGTTGGCAGCAATGAATGACTCTAGTGTATTTTTTAATGGAATTTTATTTATTTATTGCCCCCAAATTGCACTGTAACAAAGATATTCATTTTCTTTTTGAACAAAAAAAACAAAACAACATTCTGTGAGATGTTCTTCAAGCACAACGTGGCGTTATATGTAAATGTCACACCGGCTCAGGTCCGTTTGTCATATTTTATCTCATTAAATGGGAAATAACGAGATTGGATTAGATTAAAAGTATCTGCAATGCGGAAAATGGTACAAAAACTTTTCCAACATGAACAGAGAGGATGATAACACTCAATGTGAAGTTCCATGTTATTTTTTGGGGAGTCTGAGGTTAAATATGGGAAATTGATTCTATCAGTGCTTTATTTTGGATAAGATGAAAGTAAATGTGAAGGTGAAGGGTGGTTTGATGTATGTGACTGAATGTTTTGAAACAAGCAGCACACATCTGAAAACGTCATGAACTATGGAATCACATGAGTTTGTATTATTGTTTCTTCAGCTGTGTTTATGTGGCTGCTTACAAATGAAATGGAGACTGGAATAAAAAAGTGGATGGAAACCAAAGAAGAAGTGAGTGCCATGTTTGAACGTGGCCATATTGAAAGTTCAAGTATGATGCATGACTATAATGTGGACTGACTTGTTTGCAATAAATTCAAAATACAAGACACTGAACGAGTTTCTGTCTGTGTGATTTTAAATCTCGCTAATGTTGTTCCTCTGCGATGGACTGGCAGTCTGTCCAGGGTGTACCCCCGCCTGGTTGCTGGAGGAAGTTAAATTGTTAACTCACATCAACAAACATTATTTGTACAAAATAATTATAAAAAAAACAGGCAATGAAGCAGATTTATGCCAATACAAGTGTTTATTTGGCATGTGCCTGCGTGCGAGGTTGGCTTTCTGGTGACACTGAAACACCCCGTGAGGCTTAAGTTTAACCTGACAGCTTGCAGCGGTGTTTACTCGGTTGCCATGGACGCAGTGAGACTGGCAGACACTCGTTGGCCCCCAGCTGCTCTCAGTGCTTTCTAAAGAATCTACATTAGGGCCCAGTTGTTGCTTTTGGATGCCAGCGAGGGCTCTGATGTCACAGTTGTGACACGAGACGAGTCGAGATTTATCGCCTTACCTGGAACAACGGGAGCGTGTCGTGTTTAAGCCAGGAAAGAACAGTTTGTCTTTGTGGACTAAACAGTCAGTAAAACAGTCAGAGATGGGATTCTCAATCCTAAGCCCAACCCTAAATGCTGTTGCTGTGGAATACATGTATGTAAATCCCTGCTTATGCTAGTGTTTATTAAAAAAACACCATTTGTTTTGAATGATCAGAGAGTTTGAACTTTTAGATAGCGCAGCCTAAAGGGAGATCGTCTGCAGCTGGTTAAAGCAAGAGTGATGTAAATGTAAAATCTATGGCACCATGCTCGTATCATTTAAATGTGTATTCCCATCCTGCTGCTTTTTATACTGATAGATCCAAAAGAACCACCTTTCAGCCAGATCCAACAACACCGGCTCGTCTTAAGCTGCTGCACCGTGCAGAAAATCTTGTTGTTGATGCTCAGAACAAAGTTGTGCTAACTGCATTTGGGAATGAATGTTGGGCATTACCATTCCCATCGGCGTTGATTGACAACAAACCAGGACTGTCATCTGGCTCCCTTCTGTTACCGTCACCAGTTTGTTCCTGACTTTCATCTGATGCACGCCAGGTTTGGATGTTTTCTCCTTGTCTTGATTTTGTTGTAGCCAGGGTTCTTAATGCTTGTGTCTTTTGTTGTTGTATTTTATTATTTTCATTAAAATTAATTTAAATGTTGCAAATTGTCTAGATTAGACATTTTACTGTATTTGTGAAAAGTTTTGAGCTATCCGTGCCCAAATGGCAGACGTGGGAGTGTCTCAGGGCGGGATATTTTTGAACCATTCAAGTGCTGCAGATTTGGCAAAAGGCAACCAGACTTTTTTTTACTTGATTTTGGCTCCTCTGTTCTCTTGATCTGATGTTTCACAGTTTGAAAAGAAAATTATTTAGTAAATTCGTGGAATGAGAAGCAGAACATCTTCAAGAATTGAGACCTGTGTCCTGTTTGAACAAAGAAAACCACATCATGGAAGATTTTCAATAGCGAGTAGCAAAATGAAATCCATATTAAAGCATATAGAGCACAGATAAATGACTCGCTATTTAGCAAGAAATAGATCTATATTGTTATTTTAAGTTCATAAAAAACATTAGTTTATGAAAGATTTATAGCTTAACTACTAATTGCATTAATACCAGTGCATTCCTATCGGATTATCAAGAGGAGCCAGTCTAGGTGGCTTGGGTATCCGGTTAGGATATGGGTATATGCTTCTCGTCTTGCCTGGGAAAGCTTTGGGATTCCCCCGGGGGAGCTGGCCCAAGTGGCTGGGGAGAGGAAGTCTGGGCCTCTCTGCTAGGCTGCTGCCCTAGCAACCCGACCCTGGATAAGTGGAGGAAAATGGATGGATGGAAGTTACCAGTTATTTATAAGAGGTATCTCATTTTTTTAAGATATAAAAAATCAACAATAAAATCTTATCACTAAATAAATGTAGAGCAGGATAGCAAATGTTCTCATGTGTTCCCTAAACGAGCTGCTAGGAAAACAGATTAAAACACGCCACAAATGATGCTCTTTGGGGTTGTTCTTTTGTTTGTTTTTGACCAAAGCACTGATGAACACCCGACCTTTAAAGATCATGTTTTCTCTGTTGCTCGTTCATGCCGCTTTGCGCTGTATAACATACGAAAGATCAGACCATACCTAACACAACATGCCACCCAGCTCCTGGTGCAATCTATTGTCATCTCCCGCCTCGATTACTGCAATGCCCTTCTAACTGGTCTTCCAGGCTGGACTGTGAGACCTCTTCAAATGGTCCAGAACGCAGCGGCGCGTCTGGTCTTCAGTCAGCCAAAAAGAGCACACGTCACTCCTCTGTTCATTGAGCTCCACTGGCTACCGCTAGCAGCACAAATTCAAATTGCTAACACTAGCATACAAAGTCCGAGATGGTACGGCTCCCATCTACCTGAATCCTCTTGCAAAGGCTTACGTCTCGGCCCGACCGCTCCAGTCATCACAGGATCGTCGGCTAGCAGTGCCTACACCACGCTCAGGACAATCCAGACTCTTCTCATGCATCGTTCCACAAATGTGGAATGACCTACCAAGCACTACCAGAACAGGGGCTTCCTTTTCAATTTTCAAGAAACTCCTGAAGACCCTGCTCTTCAGAGAGCATCTTCTTAACTAGCACCCTCCCTGCACCCGTCCCCACTCTCTACCGTCCACTCCTTTGTTCCCTCCTCTCCATGACTGATGTCAAGTTGTTGTTGTAATTTTTGTTGTTTGCCTCAAGGGCAACATGCCGATCATCACTTGTAAGTCGCTTTGGACAAAAGCGTCTGCTAAATACACAAACACAAACAGAAAACCCCCTTATGTTAGTTTGCGATGATAAAATACGATAGAAAGTCCAAAAAAAAGCATGAAAACTAAATGTTTTCAGGGCACATTTATTGTCTTTCATTTAAAAAATTCATCAGAATTATAAATAGCAGGATTGTAAAACACAAAATCAGCAAAATTCTAATCTTGTTAGATTCATATTTAAGGTCTCATCTTGCATGTAAAAAGTAAAACCCAACATGTTTCACTTTTGTCAGAACCAAACAAGAAAGATAAGGAAATAAACTTCCTAAATGTGTAAACAGTGGCATAAAATGATAAACAACTCCTTATTAACATATAAAGAATAATGCAGCCAGAATGGGAATGTTTTTCCTAACTCCAGCGGGATATTTACCACGTTTCTTGTTGGGGAAGCTACAGTGATCATATTGTGAGAACACAACGAAATATACACTAATGTATGTGCCCATCATAAATACATTTCTTAATGAAATCCACAAAAACGCATGGTAATCATTTCTGATTTGAAACAACAATAATGAATTACAATTCTTTAAATATACACACAGGAAAACATTACAAATACCGCCAAAATAAAATACTAATAATAATAATAATTCACCACTGTTCTTCTTTAGAATCGGTCAGTTTGAGAAATAAAGACCCGTTTTTCCACTGGAAGGGTGAGATATTTGTCCTCTCTACCAGCTGGAGTCAAACACCTTGTTGCACATGTTTGAGTTTTCCTGATGAAGAGGGAATTCTGATCCAGGGACGAGTTGCTTTCTGCTCCTACGGGATGTGACAATCTTCCCCGAAGACGTGCTTTCATACTTGGAAAGAAATTCCCTAAAAGGAGACAAGTACAAAAGAGAAAGTTGAATATTGTAGGAGTTGATTAAAATATTTAAAAACGTCATGAACATTACCTGAAAGGAAAGGTAGCCTTATCCATCTGCATGCACACCAGGAAGGGGTATTCAGAGAACTGCACCGTGGTGATAAAGTCCAGCGACGCCTCCGTCTCAAAGCTGACCTCCACACCAGCCCTCAGGAAGTCCATGTCTACCGTGACGTTCCCAGCAACCACTAGTGCTCCTCTGGAAACAACCACGTGATAATGTCTCCATTATAAAGAGTAAAACATGAACTCTGCTGTACAAATGTAGAAATATTATTAATCTCAGTCTCAAAGACTTTCCCCAATTTCATTTTAAAAAGTGAGTTGTTTATCTTCTCTGCCTCATTCAGAAACATTATGGGATTACTTATATTAAGGTTTATTTAAAGCAACACTAAAGAGTTTTTTAACAATTGAAGCTATAGGGAGTCTAAGTCTCGAAGAACAAAAATTAATGCAAGTGAACGAGGCTAAAAAGCTATTCCTAATCCACTTTGCCTTACGCCCTGAATCACACATATGTTGTACTTCGATTTAAATGAAAAGTAATGATGTGTGTTTCGACCACGCCAGCCAAGCTCTTTCAGATTTATCAGCTTGTAAAAATTCGTAATTCCTATGACTACAAATCGGATGTCGGTAAGTCGTATTTGTGACGTCCCCATGGAATCTCCTCCCCCTAGCGTAGCTGCTACTTACCAAAAGTTCAGATTTATGGTTGTTTAATCGTCCTGATGGAAGGATTTGAAGTTCGTTTAACTTACAGCCATTTTTTCTCTGCTTTCTTCCAGTTTTGGTTCAATGACGTCAATTTGGTGAAGCACATTTGAGGACCTGGACACATTTTCTCACAAAACCTAAAATAACTTTTGCCCCTGTTTGAAAATAAGCGTGTTCTAAGCATCAGAATGCATCTTTAACATTCACTGACATCATATGTGAAATTCATGGCACTATCAAACCAGATTAGAAGGAAGCATTTTCATCCCTATTGACTTGCATTCATTTTTTTCACTCTTCCGGAGACCCGTGGTCCGGAAGTAGATGGGCGTGGCATAGGCTCCCTATTGCTCCCAAACTGGTTTCAGAGGGTTTTGAGCCAGATACTTGAGCAACTTCACATTGGAAAGCACTCTGTAGCCCAATAGTGTGGATCATATTATTTCTAGGCTTATTTATCATCAGCTGGCTCATGTTAGCGTTAGCTCGTTGTTAGCGCTAGCTACAATAAGCTCCTGCAGGGTTATTTACGACCCTTTCAACCAGTAGGAGGAAGAAGCTTTAAACTCAGAGTTTTCCAATGATGGTTTGAACTGAACATTAATACATGAAAAACTGGCATAAATGTGGAAGATTTGGATTTTAATTCCCATAATAATCTAATTTCTTTGCTATATGACATTCTTGATTTTCCTTGTCTTCGATGTCATAAAGCAGTGTTTGTTACCAAAACATGGAGGGAAAATCGTAGATATCTAATGTGTATGTGGTGTTTTCCATTGTTTAGTCTAGCTGCTGTAGTCCACTAACGGTTGAAGTAAAAGTAAAGAAAATCCAACTACTCTAGTTTTGCCTAGGGTGGCATGCCTTGGCAAAGATATCACAGTTTGCCTCTATAGATAGCCTGCCAATCTATTATCAGAGTGGAAGAGGTACAACTATGCTGATCCATTCACCTGCCTCTGCCATTCCCAATTCCAAGATGTGCCCCTCTACAGCTGTCAAGATACTGATGGATTAATAGAATATCGACAAGTCCAGCTCACCAGAGCACGAAGCATATCTAAATCACTAAAGCTCTATAACATAACCGCGACACTTGTGTGCATTATTAAAATCGAATTAAACCAAGTGACCTGTTTTGTGCAGGAGAATCAGTTTGCATTTGAAAGTTTAAGTTGTTTTTTCCAAAATTCCTGTTTCATCACCACTCGCTGTGAGCGGTCTGACTCCACAGTGACAATGAGCTCTGTTTTCAGCAGCTACCGTTGCACTCCAACTCTAATGTTTTTAAATAGAGAAGCAGACAGAGCTGATGTCACAGACACAGGAGAAAGCAGACCAGCACAATGCTGGAACACGCCCAGCCTCAGAGGTGCTGGAACAAATGAATCATGCGGCCCGTTTAGACCTTCTGAAGCTCAGATAAATTTAACATGAACAGAAATCGATGAGTGACATGGCTGAACTTGCTAAAAATATCTCCCTTTCTGTGACCAAGATTGTTTTCTAAGAATCGTCCTACAATCAAACAAGACCTTTGACCTCCAAGTGTGTAACATCATACGATGCGGGGACTCTGTGAGATCATGAATCACGTTCCACGGCTGCCCTTTAGGTCGAGATCATTGCACGTACAGCATGAGGCATATAAAAACAAGTTCATGTTACTGTATCAGAACAATACCTGTTGTTGACGCTGGTCTTGGACTCCCTGTACCACAGACTTATCTCCATCCCTCCAGAAATATCGATAGCTAACCCTCCTTGAAACTCTGAGCTCACTTTCAGACCAGACTGCAGCTGAATGACCTGCAGAAGCACAAGTGAGAAGAAAAAACAACAACGGAGGGCTTTTAAACACAAAATATCATCTGCCTTTGTCCCAGAGTTTGAACTGAAATCTTACTGAGGAAGGATGATTTCAATGCAGCCGTTTTGGTCAAATTGGAGAAATAACATATTCAATGTTCCTGTGCCTGTACTGTAACCTTGACAAAGAAAACTCTACATTTAAAGCTCTAATGAAGCTATATGGAACTCATTATAGCTTTTCCAGTAAATAAAAACATCCACTTCACCTTGATTTGATTGTATTTGATGCAGCATCACTGATGTTTGCAATGTACAGAATGTATAACTGGCAAACAATGTAGAGGGGGTTTTGTCCCTAGTCCTCTGTTTTTAAAAGTACCTATCTATTGTAAAATATGATTTGTTTATTCATACAAGTCAAAAGCTTCCATAAAAGCAGGGACCTGAAAAGGCTCAACAGCCTGATTAAAAAGGCCGGTTCTGTTCTGGGGACGACTGTGGAACCACTGGAGGAGATAATGCAAAGAAGGATTCTCCAGAGAATCAAGAAAATGATGGACAACCCTGAGCATTCTCTTCACAAGACTGTCCGACAACGGAAGAGTGTCTTCAGTCAGAGGCTTCTTCAGTTTGGCTGCAACACTGACCGCTACTGAGATCCTTCCTGCCAACAGCCATTGTAATATACAACAGCTCTTTGATGACTTGATTATTATTATTATTCTGAGCTACTACAGCAATCAATTTCCCTCTGGGATTAATAAAGTATATTCTGAATTGAATTTAATTAAAAAAGATGATTGTGCTTTCCATCCATCCATCCATCCATCTGCTTATCCAGGGTCCGGTCGTGGGGGCAGTAGCCTAAACAGGGAGGCCCAGACTTCCCTCTCCCCAGCCACTTGGGCCAGCTCCTCCAGGGGAATCCCAAGGTGTTACCTGGCCAGCTGAGCGACATAGTCCCACCAGCGTGTCCTGGGTCTTCCTTTAGGTCTTCTCCCAGTTGGTTATGCCCGGAAAACCTCACCAGGGAGGCGTCCAGGAGCCATCCTAGTTAGATACTCGAGCCACCTCAACTGGCTCCTCTCAATGTGGAGAAGCAGCGGGTCTACTCCAAGCCCCTCCCGGATGAAGGAGCTTCTCACCCTATCTCTAAAGGAAGGGCCCAGCCACACTATGGAGAAAACCCATTTCAGCCGCTTGTGTCCGTGGTCTCATTCTTTTGGTCACTACCCAAAGTTTGTGACCATAGGTGAGGGTAGGAATGTATATTGACCGGTAAATTGAGAGCTGAGCTCTCTCTTCACCACAACAATGAACAGACCAAGCTCTGACACCAGCCATACAGGGACCCAACAGCCCATATCATAGGGCCTGGTACCCCTACACCTGAAGTACCCTCCACAGGGCCCCCGAGGGACGCAGTGGAACGCCTTCTCCAAATCCACAAAATGCATGTAGATTATGAACAAACTCCAACGCACCCTCCAGGATCCTCCTAAGGGTATAGAGCTGGTCCAGTGTTCCACAGCCAGGACGAAAACCACATTGCTCCACCTGAATCTGAGTTTCGACATTTTGTCGGACCCTCCTTTCCTTTCTAGAACCCCAGAATAGACCTTACCAGGGAGGCTCAGGAGTGTGAGCCCCCTGTAGTTGGAACACCCCTTTTTAAATAGGGGGGCCACCACCCCGGTTGATTTTGCATTCCTATGACTTAAAATGACTTAATCAGTTCAAGTTTGTATAGCTAGTGAAAGAAACCAACAATGAACTAGTGAAAGAGCTGTTTTATATGGAAAAACACCAGTCTTACACAAGTCTTAATACCACTTTAGATCAGATTTATGGGAATGAGTCTAAAAAGCGTCTTCAAGAGAAGAAGATGCATGTCTGTGGTGTCAAACATCCCCAACGTAAGGCTAAAGTTCACCAACTATTGCTTGTGAATACACTTCAAGATGTTTTGATTCAAAAACAAAGTAAATCTTTCTCCTTTGTGTCTGGAGTGAGTGATCTCAAACTGTCTGCTTACCTCGGAGTGATCAGTTAGCAGGATGAGACCCTTCACTACGTTTATGGGATCTCCCGTCATGGAGAACATCTTGGACATGAGGTCACTGTAACCCTTGAAAAACGTGACCGGTCGCAGCTGGACATCAAAGAGCAGAGCTGACATGCCGGCGAATGACTCCAGGTCCTCCTCCCCCGCGTCTGGTGTCGCAGCAATCAGAGACTCCAGACCTTGAGCCTCAATCGCCACCTGGGAGATGAAAGGAACATAGACATTTTATTAAAAATTACAACATTTTTATTTAAAGTCATGATTTCTAATTCCTCCTCAAGTGTACCTGTAGTCCATGTAGCATTGCTCCATTACTAGAACCATAAATATTCATGTTGCTGCTTCTCATGATCCCAGAGCCTGAATACAGGATGTCCAAACTGTAGGTGGAGGTCAGATCAGCAGATCCTGTGGGGATCAGTGAGTTTTGTTGTTATTTATTCATCAGCTTGTCTCTGTGACACAAATTATGTGTTTACTGACAGGAAATGCCAGTGAAAAAGACCACCACAGCAGAAAAATTATCTAAAAACACCTTTGTGCAACCGTTTTACTGTTATGACTGATGAAGCCCACTTCTCAATAGGCTGACGCGGCTGGAGACCCAAAATTTTGAGGAAATGTGCAAAAAACTGAATTAAAGTGACTGAATTTATACACATGACACTTCTGCACCAGGTCGCACGGCATGCACAATTCATCCTAACTTCATTTTCAGCTTGGTCACCCTCTTCTCCAAAAGTTGGCTCACATTTCCTGGACATGCAAATGTTTTTGTTTTTTTTTAATATCATTTCCAGTTCCATGAGAGCAAGGCCCAGCAACTCACACGACAGCAAACCGAGAACCCGTGTGGATGTTTTAAAGAATTTTTGGAAGTTCTCAGGTGAACACCGTTTGCAATTGCTTGCCAAACTTGTGGTGGTCCAGTGAGATTCGTGCTTAAACCATCTAAAATATTTCTGATATGCAGCATTTGGATTAAAAAGCAAATATTAATGACATTTGCACATATTTAGATGCACAAGATGTTCAACAAAAGTGGGCTTGCCAGCAAAGTTAGCATTTAGCTTTTAACAAAATACTTTATTTTCCAAAATTCCATTTGAACCTATTTTTTCCTTTACTTACGTGCCATGAAACCCGAGAATGCAGACGATGAACCGACTTTGGCAAAGCGGTTATAGTTGTGGGAAATCATGTCTTTCATAGCTTGTTGAATAACTTTGCTGTAAAAATACACAAAAACACCTTTTTTGACACCTGCAGAGTCTGACTTTTCACCTTTAGGGTTGGGGCACGTGTGGATTGTTGTCGCTCACCTGGCAGGCATTTCGAAGCGAAGGATGTCCTGGATCTTTGACAGCATGTATTTGTTCATTTCATGCGGCAGGTTTCCGATGGACAGGAGCAGATTCTTGACCTCCATGTATGAGGGGTTGCTGCTGAGGATGACGTCTGCCGCAGCGGCTCTCACGTTCTTCTCATAAATCCGTAGATTTTGGTGGTAAACCCTGTTCACCGTCTGTTTAACCTAAAACAAATAATGTTGGGGGTCCGTTTAAATACCTCCAAATAGCAGAACTTATTCTGAGCCGTGTTGTGTGCTGTGGTTTACCTCACTGGTCATGAGACCAACATCGTATCTCTGCAGAGCAGTCAAGGCAATGATGCTGTAAGACCCCACCTCTGACTCTGCAAATTTGGTGAGGATGGGGATGGCTTCAGGGAGGAGACAGTTCTTCAGTGCCAGGAGGTACATCTGCACTTCCGCCTCATCTTTTGTGCTCTCAGGGCCTTCTAAAATCAGCTTTTTAGCTTGCATCACTGCCTGAAATGTCAAATATTACAGGTCTGTCTCCTGCAAGAACAATAACTTAAATGTCCTGACTCTTACATAAGATCTAGGAAACTTACTGGTAAACTGCAGCTTCCCTTCAGACACAGCTTGTGGACCAGTGCTCCCATAATGATCACCACAGATTCTTTGATGTCTCTGCTGCCGATCTTTCCTTTATTAATATCCTGAAATAGCAAACAATGTTATTGCACCACGAGACAGGCTTCTAGCATATCAACCAAACCAGTATGGACATGCACATACGGCTGGCCTATATTGTTTACCCCACAGGAAATTCTATAAGAGCTGTTATCCAGGGATTTTGGCATGTTTTGAACATTTTTAGGCCAATTTTCTCTTAAAACACGAGCGTCCACCAAATGAAATGCATCCACCTTTGCATGGCAAACACCTGTACAAAGATTATCACAGGTAGACGCACCAGCAGAGCTTGCAGCATCCTCTCATTAGGATGTGATGCAAAGCCACAGGCGTAGAGGAACCGCTCCTGCAGAACCAAACCCTTGGCATCGGTGAAATTGAGGAACTCCAGCATGGCATCCAGCGATGCCGGAGTTTGAGAAGAAGTCACAGCATCCACTGCCTGAGGTCTGGCATAAGCAGAAAGTTGTTTACAGAAAGCAACAAACACTGGTTACAGATAATTAAACCCATACATGTACAGTAACGCTGAATAATGTCCGTGACATTTTTATTTTGAAAGGAGGAGGCACTGCTTTACAGAGCTGTCTTGCTGGCACTCTTCAGCACTTTGAGGATCTCGTCCTTGGACGCCTTCCTAATGCTCTGGATGAGGGCCAGGAAGCTGCGAGGAGCCGTGGCTTTGGACAGGCTAGCTGGCTCCAGCTGCTTCTGCACCGCCTGCCAATGTTCAAGAAGCTAAGAGGGAGAACATTTAGAGGATTAGAGAAAGGATCATCTTCTGTCAGTAATGAAAGTACAAAAATATACAGTATCTGGTTACTAATACAGTCCTATTAAGAGTCATTTTGTTATAATGGTTTGTCCAGCTCATAAACACCCATTTGCACAGAATGAATGAAGAATGTTTAACAAAACACTAACAGCAGAGTGGAAGTGAGTATAAACTGAGACCAGTGTGTAAAAACTAATTTCTAATGTAAAATTTAACATTATTTTGGGAGTATCTAATGGAAACCACTTAAAGGGGCATTGTGGAAGTTTGACAGCCAAAAATGTATAGAAATAATAATTGTCTTCTTCATACATTCTTCTGCAATGCCCTGGTCCTGTAGAATGAGCCCTGGCATTTTTACTGTGATTGCCTATTTTTCTGTAAAATCACAGAAAAAGAGAGATGCTCGGGTCGAGCAGGCTGCTTCATGCGCGTTCACGCTCAGGCACAGCCCTCTGAACTGTTCTTAAATGGTACAGAGACAAGTGATGTCACTGGTGCGTTAGCTCGTTTAGTAAGATGTTGGACTTTCGTGCAGAAGAACCAGGTTTGATTCTGGATCTGAACATAGTTTATTTAGAGTTTCTTTTTTACATTAATGGTATATTTTTTACAGTAAGATGCCCAAATTTTTATTTGAGACTCGCCGAACGGCATTGAATTCACAGAAAAAAAGATGTGGGTTCAACTTTCATTTTGGAACAATTTTTCAAGAGCATGCAGGAGGACTGACCCATCTTAAACCTTTGTCGGCTGTGCTGAAGAGAAAGGTACAGAACCAAATTATTTAATTAATTAGCTGTGCGTTCTCCTGTCCTCTGTCCTCCGGGCCACACACACACACACACACACACACACACACACACACACACACACACACACACACACACACACACACACACACACACACACACACACGGAGCTGACTGTCCCAGCTGTTATTTTCGTTAAGGAGTGTGCACGTACAGCATGCGCGCCTCGTGCACGAGCCTACTATTGAAGCTGCCGTTACGCTTTTGGCCTGAGGGGGCAATCGTGAGCATAAAAATTCAAAACTCCATAAAGTCCCTTTAAAGTTCAACTTTATTCCTATTTTTGTACATGTGCAGTGGTCTCTAGTAAGAATGAATGCCTTGTAAGTCGTACTCTGGGGACAAAAAGCTCCAGTGTGCCTGAAGTAGAAGTCAGCCAGAGGAGAAAAGTAGCTTCAGAGGGCAGAATTGGGAGCCTACATTTGTCTCCAGTTGGCTCATGGGTCCACGGAGGAAAGAAACAATGAAAACAAGTCAATGAGGCTAAAAGAGTTTTTTTTGCCAATTGCCGTAGCCCTTAGAAGCAATAATGGTATACAAGGCATTTCACATGGTGGACCAATACATACTGTCTCACTTTATGTGGATGATATGTTGTTATATGTCACCAATCCTGTTTTCTCTCCTCCTATAATCCTCAAAATCTTACAGGAATTTGGAAACATATCCGAGTATAAAATGAATTTTACTAAAAGGGATGATGAGATCCCTGCATGGCTCCAGATTGAAATGGTTACAAGCGGTCTACATTCACTCCCTGCTTTACACCTTTACCATCACTAGTTAATAGTATTTAGAATAATATAATTGTAACTCAATCGCTACGTATTGTAAATCAGTTTAAGAGATCTTTGGGTATTCACAGTATTTCTGTTCACTCACCTATAATACGTAATCATCTTTTCCAACCCTCCCCATGGCTTCAAAGGTTTGTATGACACAGGCATTCACAGCATTCAACATTTATATATAAATGATACGTTTTCTAGCTTATAACAGCTCTCTTTTGAATTTGGTCTGACCAATAATAACTACTTGCAAAACTTTTCTTGTAAAAAAAACTTGCTAATTTTCCAGCTCCTCCATCTCCTTCTCTAAAAACTTACAGCCAGTTTTTCTGCGTTTTTCTCCGTATGTGGTTTGAAGACGTCCATTTTGTGATGCGTATTTGTAGTTTTGGAAGTTCTTTCACACAAAACCTAAAATAACTTTTCTCCCCATTCAAAAATAAGCACATTCTTTGCACCAAACACATATTTAAAATTCACAGATGTCATATGTGAAATCCATGGCTCATGTATTAGAAAATAGAATTTATAGGCCCATTGTCTTACTTTCCTTTTTTCGTTCTTCCGGGATCAAGGAACCTCGCCTTGATGTCTTGGCCGGTTGCCTAGGAGATACATCATCAGGAACCGCCAAGGCGTGTTCCAACGTTCATGTTCTACTGAGGTTTATGTTCTCTGTTTGTTAGCCGATTAGCTAGCTGAGCAAGGATACACGGGAGGGGTCTTGTAGCCTAGCATTGTTCAAAAATTACCCAGAATACACTGTGGTATTTTCAAAAGGACGGCGGATCAGAAGCAGGCAGCTACTTTGGGGGCAACTACTTGTAGCTATCGGGCTGATATATGAAAGATTTTTATAGATCCAAAGTTAGCTATGGTTGGTTAGATGCTAGCAGTTGCGGCTTTGGTGGCTAGCAGGTAGTAACTTGCTTGCATATTTAATTGAACAAATTTAAAACGTAAAAGGCTTGTTATATATTTATATTGAAATGTATACGTGTCGCCTGACGTTACGTGACCGCAGCAGAAGCCGCGATACCGTTATGCAAGTCTGTTCCATTTAATCATTTTCTTTGACCAAGGAAGGACAATGTCCTCTTAAGCAAGGCGCGTAGCCTCGTAAGACATCACCTTGCGAGGCTAGGCACCGTGACATTGAGAAACAGCTTTAGGCTCCCCATTTGGAGTCTTAGATCCTGACACTTGTACATCAACAGCAATGCAACTTCATCACTGACTCTGTTTGCTCTGCAGCATTGATGTTTTATCTCCACAAATAACACAAGCCTCCATGTTTTGGAGTTGCTATTGCTAATGGTTAGCTTCTACTAGTCGAAACGTTTTCTGCTGTTTGCTGGATGTTAAACCAACAACAGCCTTCCTCATTGTGAGTCAAGATGGGTGAGTCCAGCTTTTTTTATCCTATTTTCTATCACAAGCTAATGCAGGAAATAGGTGTAGAAGACTAGTTCAGCCTCAAGAGTGGTCAATCATTTTCAAAAAATGACTATTAAGAAATTGTTTTCCTCAACTGGGATTTGCTTGGTCTCCAGTGCAAGTGGGCAAAAGTTAATGTGACTTACTGAAGGACATCCTTTGCATTTGGATTTGACCTTTTCAGCAGCAATACCAACAGCTGCCAGTTTGTCATCGATTGACTTGACGACCCCAGTGACATCTTTGCCAGCACGCTCAGGTGGTCCAGCGTCTTTACCGACCAGCACCAGGGTTTGCCTGGATGTGAGAAAAATAAACAGACAAACGTGTTAAAGGTTCATCGTGTAAGGTCTAGAGATGTATGTGAGCACAGGCTGTATACACACTTTACCAAAGTTCCTGCAATAAAGGGCTGGATCTCTTAAGCGTTACTTTACCGTGATGTGACTTTAGTGGCAGCAGATCTTCGAGCATTCACTGCCAGTGTGTGTGTTTCTTCAGCTTCAGCAGTTTTGATGAAACCATCTTCAAGCCTGAACACTGTAACAGAACTGGACTTCTTGCTCACACCCAACACCTAAACAAATTCAGACAAAAATGAGTGACCCATTCACAAAGATTCAGCTTTTCCAACAATGCGTGGAGGATGACTGACTTTACTATGAGTGGTAAATCCGGCCTCTGAAGCCTTGCACGTCTCCAGAAGCTTGGTTCTTGTTACTTGACCTTGTGTTGCCTGATACTGAACCGTACACCTCCCAGACACATCATTCTGTTTAAAGACATGGGTTCAGCTTGTTTACACTATTAAATATGATATAATTCAACGTAACAGGAGAATGGTGATGGCATTTACCTCCACAACCTTCCCAGAATAGAGCTGAAACTGCAATAAGCTCACAAGACCTCGCTTTAGATTCTTGATGGTTGCAGGTTCTGCCCAGTAGGAATAAAATGCTTTCGTCTGCATCGGGTAAAGAAAATAGTTTTAAAACACTTTGACCCTAAAACTGCTGAGAAGTGAAAGCATCAGAGCTGCAGCTCACAAAAGGCATTTGGAGTGTCAGTTTTCCTTTGAGCAATTGTTTTCAGAAACGTGTGAGCATAGTTATGACATCAGTGTCTATTTGCATTATATGATAATGTCTGAAATGAAGATCAGAAACAGAACCAGACTGTTCTGGGATTAGCGCCTACAGGTGTTAAAAGAGTCAGCCACAGCTATCGAAGTCAGAATAGCTTTTAAAATTCAGCAACCCAGGTTATTTTAGCAGAGGCTAAAAGTACGTCAAATATCCTCAATAATTAGTCATAAAACCAAATGGAAATTAATGATAAAAACTGAACATTGTCTCTTTAAGACAATTGGTTTTTCTTTGTATGGCATTAAAAATATAAATGTCAACACACAACTAACAAGTAGCCTGGAATGTAGTAGTGAAAACTATTCTGAAGTATCCAAATAAACAGTGGCGCCCCCAAATTGTTGCCCCCCCCCCCAATAAATTCCATTCATGTTCACACAAATCATACAGTCCTCCCTTTAATTGATACATAAACATTAAAGCAGATAAATGTTGTAGTGTCATGAAATGTCCTGTTTTTGACCTAAAGGTCATGCTCTGCTGCGTCTGCTCGAGCGGAGACATAAAGTCTCTGACACAGGCCTAATCTACATGAGATAGTGGCCAAGGCCTTTCATGCCTCTGCTCATCTGAACCGCTTCACCTTTTACAGCTCAAGACAAGACGGAGAACTCACTTGATAAATACATAATCAAACAACGTTTGTTACTGCCAGTAATAATGTGAGCGCAACGTTCAATCAATCTGTGAAATGACAATGTTATTACTTGATATTATAATCCTGTGATCAGTAGTATTTTACAAGTAATTATAATCTTGGACAGCTGCACTAGACACGTGATGACACAGAGTAATGCTAAAGTCACATGACACATTTCCTTTTGTCTGATCCAATCAGAACCTTCGTTTCTGGCGTGGTTATCTGTGGTGTTTGTATAAGCCGTCTTTTGCATGTCAAATTCTGATTCGCCAGTGAACCAAAATATGACAGTTATAAAAACTATTCTACGTCACCTTTAGTTCAGTTCAAAGCGTTCTAGAGAAGTTCGGACAGGCCATCCGAACTTCCTCTTCAGCCGATAGAACCTTGCTCGACAAGCTGGATAAAATCTGTTGCACGTTACACCTGACCGCAACGGTTCCTTCAGAATAAAAGCTGAACCTCACGACTCCTTCATGGTCTCGCTGACGCCAATAATAACCCGTCGTGACCTGGGAGCATTCTGAGACTAGACTGGTCGACACCGCTGCTTTTCTACTGGCTTCGGTACCAAGGAGGGTCCAAGAGGACCTCAACATTCTGGATCTAAACGGAGGCTTCCCCCGGGGTACGTAGACCGACAGATGGCGTTTCATGTGTGTTATAAATCTCCAACTAAAGTTTAGAGCGAAACATTCACTCCCACTCAGAACTTCTCCGGATACGAGGTTCTGATAACAACATTCCACACATACATCATTCATCTCACGTCTCACTCCACCTTAGTTCCATCAGTACACAGAGTGTTTATGTTAGTCTTGTTTAAATTGTGTAGAAATAAATTTCTTAACTATTATAAAACTGACTCTCTCTCTTTCCTCGGAGTTAATACGAAGTGTCACGTAATCCCTGCAATAAAAAGTTCTGATCTTCTGGTTAAAATGTTCAAAGATCCATCAGACTGATATTTCATATTTCTATGGAATCTCACATTTTATGGTTCATAATTAAGATGTAAACTACCCATCGTGACAACGTAATAAACTGTTTATTTGATAAATCACAATTTAAATAGAGACGACTTTCACTGAGGCTCACCACATTTTTGTTGAAACATTAATATGAAAAATAAACTGTTTAAACATTCTGCTATATAAAAATTTTAACAATAACTGAAGTAACAGTTTGAACTTTTGTGTGTTTTCTCTTTTTTTTAGGTAACTATTGGATGCACAGGCCTGTTGTTTTTCAGTGAAAAGATGGACAGATCAATACAACGCACACCTACAGGCTAAACTCTCCCAGAGTCACCACAGGGACCAAACTGGTGGCCCCCCAAAATTTTCAATCAGATTGAGTATGATAGTAATTCCACTTTAAAGGGATAAAAGAAAATTAACTGAAAAAATATATATGGATTTTTTTTTTTTACAAAAAAAATAAAATACAGTAACATACTATAACTTAGAATAAGTGTGTTGTTACATTAAATGCCCATGCGTATTTGGTTTTAAGTCAAAATAAATTAAAATTACAGCTTTGGAACTTTTTTGAACAAATGACATAAGAAATTCTACCAATGTTGGTTTAATTCAGAGACAGGCTGTGTCCCAGTCTGCCCCCCTATCAAAGCACCATACAACGTTACCTTTCCAGTATGTCAAACAGATATGGCTGCCAAACACAATATCAATAGGACCACCATAAATAGTTTGTCTGCTACTGGGACACTTTCTTTCCACCGCCTGCGCTGGGTCTCTGATCTGTTTGGTTTTACTGATGCAAACCTCAAGACTCAGAAAGATAAATATTAAACAAAACTTTTTCTCTTCTGTTTTATTGCTACATAATAATGACACTGAACTCATCCGCCAGATCAATTTAGAGTCATTTTTTTAAAACCCACTAACAATTCAAAACAGTCAATTTGGTATTTAAAAAATCATCCAGAGAAATATATGTATTTTTTATGCACCGGTAATATATTTTTTGGTACAATCAATATACACACACTCTATATACACATATATATATATATATATATATATATAGAGAGAGAGAGAGAGAGAGAGAGAGAGAGAGAGAGAGAGAGAGAGAGAGAGAGAGAGAGAGAGAGAGAGAGAGAGAGAGAGAGAGAGAGAGAGAAAGAAATGTGATTAATCAGATTATAAAAACATCACATTTACCAATTTAAGCATGTTTTCTAATAAGATTAATTGGAAATGTATTTAACCCAACATGCAGGTGAAAATGGAAAAATTGCAAAATGGTGTGAAAATCCATTTAATGTCAGTAATTCAGCTTGGATGGAGAGATCATCTAAAGCAGTGGTTTTCAATCCTGGTCCTGGAGGACCAGTATCCACCTCGTTTTGGTGGTTTCCCGTCTCCAACACACTTGATTTAGTAGCTAAATCACATTTGATCAGCACATCAAACTCGACAGAAGCCTGTTATCACCTGCTGATTGAAAGATGGCGTGTAGAAGGAGAATTAACATGAAAACATGCTACAGTAGATACAGACCTCCAGGACCAGGATTAAGAACCGCTGATCTAAAGGCTAAGGAACCTTTAAAGGTGTTTTGGATTCATCAGCTGATTAGTGACACTTTGAGTCTAGAATACTGAACCTTTTCACATTATTCTCATTGTCTGAGATTTTGAATGTGGGGTTTTCATCAGCTGTGAGCCATAATCATAACAATTAGAACAAATGAGCTAATCTTGTATTAGTTTCAGCTTTTAAGTTTAAGTATTATAATAATGAACTTTTACACCATATTGGAATTGTTCCAGTTTCACCTGTATATTGAGACACACTGACTTCATTTAAGCCAGCCGTTTATCTAATGAGGGTTTTAACCTCCAGCTGTGATTAAGCTCGGACTCGTCCATTCATTCTTTCAGACATTGACACTTTGCACCTGCTGACCTTTGCATATACTCGCACACACACACACACACACACACACACACACACACACACACACACACACACACACACACACACACACACGCATTTACAGTATTTCCCCTGCCAGCATCATCACTTCAGCACAATAAAATAAGCTTTCACACCGTGAGGGCATCTTTCTGGCATCCCACCTCACCATAAACTCTATGTTGGCCAAGTCGGGTATGGTTGACACTGAATCTATAAATGCAGTCAGGATGTGCAAGAAACACGTGACAAGTCGATGTTCTCACCTTTCCGTTTTTCAAATGCACTAAGAAAGGTTTTGTCAGAGCCGCCAGTTTGTTTTTCCCCAAGATGCTTTCAGTTGTAGCTCCGTGGAGGACGTTCTTCTTCTCTGGTCTCTCTGCTGCAGGCTCAAGCCTCACATTTGAGATCTGTTGAAATGAGAACCACTTCTTCCATCAAGACAGTTACAGACACAGGCTGGATCACCGGTTTTAGACAACACTGGGAGATGATTTCACCCACGTACCGCCAGCTGAATCAGCTGATCGTCCTTGCTGCTCGGCCCTCTCCAAACCAGATGGATGGCCACATCACTGGAGATCCTGTAGCCGGTGCTGCCCTCTCTCGACCCCCTGGCCCTGTCCAGCAGGACCTCGGTGGTGTAGCGGAGTTTGTACAGCTGGTTGTTGTTCAGCCGGGGTCCAGCAGCAACACCTGAAGAAACACCAGAAACAGTGCAAGCACACAGATGACGAATAATCTCCAAGCTTTGGTAATTTCGACAATGTGTGCTGATCAGAATTACCGAGAAATGGTATTTTTCTAAGAGGCCACCAAACATCGTGGAGAATATTAGTATGCAGTGCGAGTAATTTGAGGAAACTTTATAAGTTATGAGCTGTAATGGTGTAAATCTTCTAACACATGCTTCTACTGAGTTTTACTGAAAGGGCCTTTAGACACTTTTCAAAACAATGGCTCCCAGACTTTTCATGTTCAGAGGCTGCCAGTGGATCTGGATCTGGGGTGGTAAAATCATCTGCTGTATTAGTGGGTGTGTGAGGACACTATGATCTCTCCTGGCTTTATTAGTGACAGTCCTCCTGATAGATGGGACACTCGGCCACGAGGGAAGACACACTGACGTGTCAGTTTTTGATTTCACGCTCGGTGATCAGTAAGAGATCTGGGCTCAGTTTGACAAACAGCTGTCAAAACATTCCAGGAACATCCAAAATAAGACACCAGCGAAGGCTTTTATTTATTCATTTGTTTATTTTGTATCATTCTTCAGGGTTTCCGGTCTTTAATCTCTCATCGCTTGGTGATGTCACCAAACTCGCTACAGAAACGGACTTCTAACCCGGATTCATTCATTCATTCATTCATTCATTGACAGCATCTTTCCCACTTGTGCGAGAAACAAAGTAAGTGTCAAATATCTGAGCTGATGACAAAGACAAACAAAAGACTAAAGATCCAACCATCCACCCACTCACCTTTGGTAGATGCTGAGACGGTGGAGGCTGCACAAAGCAAGAAGACGACCAGGGCCAACATCGTGTGTCCTCTCCCTGCTGCCGGATGATTCAAACCCACACAGCAGAGTCAGCGGCCGAAGTGGCACAAAAGGGCCAAAAAGAAAGGCAAAGCAAGTCCGATCCTCTCCCGTTGGGTTTTATCTGAAGGGGAGGGCAGACTCCAAACTCCACGCTCAAGTACTAAGTACGAGATAACCGGCAAATCATTAACCTGCAGCTCAGATTTGAGCGGAACTTCAGCTATAGATGGATGCAGCATTTAAAGTCTGATGTGTGATTAGGAAATCAATGCAGGAATAATGTGATTGATTCAGCTCATCGTGAGACAAACACAGAGTACACTTTTAAAACCAAACCCAAACAGCTGCTCACCTGAGATTTAAATAATACATAACTATGACGTTCAAAACTTCAAAATAAGAGCATTGTAGTTACCAGGAGGTGATAAATCTTCATGTCAGACACCTTTCCCCTACATTTCACCCTGAGATGAACAATTGTCACTTTGTGGTCATGTGTCGGCTGGAGGAAGTGGGCCGCCCTGCCCTAAAGCTCCAATCGCATCTCCTCAGGAGGCTGGAAGTCTTTGGATTTGGTTCAGTCTGGGAGTTTTCAGGGATTTTACTCCCCTTTTAATAATTACTGAGAAGCCACTAAACATGTCAAGATCATAGCATTAAATCGCTTTTTAGTTAATTGACAGTGTTTTAGGATCCCAGATTCATCACAGCTTTTCCATGTTCTCTTCTCAGTCTACATGTTCACATGACTTCATCATTTATAATAATAATAATAATAATCATTGAACTCATATAGCGCTTTATTAGGACACTCAAAGACGCTTGTGTGAACTCTTACATTCACACACTGCTAGTGATGGTAAGCTACTATGTAGCCACAGCCGCCCTGGGGAGGGCTGACAGAGGCGAGGCTGCCATTTGGCGCCGTCGGCCCCTCTGACCACCACTAACACGGGCAAGTTGGGTGAAGTGTCTTGCCCAAGGACACAACAGCAGAATACCTCTGGTGGGAGCTGGAATCGATCCCACGACCCTCCGATCATGAAGCAACCCGCTCTACCAAATTTCATTCATATTTTATCAGTTTAGTCAAATTGTTTCTGCTTTTTAATTGCAATTTATATTATATGTACAAATATATTGTTTATATTTACAAGAATCATACTTCAGATACTTATTCAAAGTCCCCGTCATAATGAAGATTCATTTCTAGTCTTTACCTTCGACAAAGCCTCACGTTCTCATTTGTTTTAACAATCAGTATTTATAAAAGATCACTTGGTGATGCTCGTAGTGGACATGTCACCACGTCATTCAGAAAAGCTAATCTTAACATCAGCATCTGAAAGTGAAGTGCTCACTCAGATCTGCCAGATTTTCAAATGCATCACAGAGCTCAACAAAAGCTGTAATAAACCAGGTTACTGATGACAAATGTTACCTCCCCTTAGGAACCAGTAGGTGGCAGTGTGCGTTGCAAGTATGCTGCTTTATCTAATGATCCTTTAACAGAAAATAGTGAGAGTTTAGCTGTTGTCACAAAAAACAACAAATTAAGTTTAAGATGAGACAGAAATATTATTTTTAAACAAAATGGAAAAAACTGCAACTAAAAAGGTGCAAGTTAAAAGATGCTTTGATGACGTGATCCTCCCACATCTGAGAATAGACTTCCAAAGCATCACCATGCAAGTCAATCGAAGGAGTCAGGACTACAGGTGAAACTGGAAAAATTAGAATATGGCGAAAAAGTTAATTTATTTCAGTAATTCTACTTCAAAAGTGAAATGAATATATTAGATAGACTCATTACATACAAGTAACAGATTTTCAAAGCCTTTGTTTGTTATAATTGTGATGATTATGTCTTAATGTTTATAAAAACTCTAAATGCAAAATCTCAGACAATTAGAATATTGTGATAAGGTTGAATATTCTAGACTCAGAGTGTCACTCTAATCAGCTGATGAATCCAAAATGCATGTAAAGGGTTCCTGAGCCTTTAGATGGTCTCTCAGTCTAAGTTGGATTACTGACATGAATGGACTTTGCACCAAATTTTTAATTTTAGAGATTAACCAGAACAAACCAAAATTCAGTCAAAAGCTGTTAAATAGGTGCTAATTTTCTTCAAATATATTTTTAAACATGCTTAATCATCTCCACACATTTTTTCTTGCAGATCTAACAAGTGTCGATCAGGACCTGGTGGTCCTCGTGATCTGCAGAAAAGTGTCTCAGTCACATTTTGATTGGAGTCAGGTGTGCTGGAGCAGAGCCGTCCTAGGTTGTTAAAGAGAGTGAGTTGTTTTTATCACTAATTTCTGGAAATATCCATCAAAATGTTGATGAAAATGATGCCCAGTTGTTGAAAAATATTGGTGGCTTCATAACATATAACCATAAAAATCAGGACTAAAATGCATGGGAGTGGGGGTGTTTCTCAATGCCAAGGCCTTGCGAGGCCAGGCGCCTTGCTTACAAGGACACTGTCCTTCCTTGGTCAAAGAAAACGGTTAAATGGAACACACTTGCATCACGTGACCACGGCTTACATGGCAGTCACGTAACGTCACTTGGAACGGAAGACGTTATATTTTATATGTATTAGTTTCAATATAAATATATAACGAGCCTTTTACTTTTTAATTGTGTATATATTTGTTAAATGTAATATATAAAAGCGAGCTACTACCCGCTAGCCACCGAAGCTGCAACTAATAAGCAACAAACCAACAATAGATAACTTCTTTGGATTTAAAAAAACATTTTTAATTAGTTGACTTACTTTTAAACTTGAAAGTTGTCCCTGAAGTAGCTGCCGGCTTCTGATCCGCCGTCCTTTTGAACATACCACAGTGTATTGTGGGAGATTTTTGATCAAGGCTAGGCTGCAAGACACCTCCTGTGTATCCTTGCTCAGCTAGCTAAACGGCTAACAAACGGAGAACACACGCCTCGGTAGAACATGGACATTGGAGCCGATTGGAACACGTCTTGGCGGCTCCCGATGACGTATCTCCTAGGCAACCGGAGCGGGGGACCAAGACATCAAGGTTCCAGCATTGAGAAACACCCAGGGTCTAAAAGTCTCCGGGCGATGCCATATTAGATTCTACGGAGCCCATGAGGACAAAATGCATTTACTGATTTGTAACAAATGGTTACAAAACTTTCATCATTCTTAAATGTTGTGTTACACATTTACCTCTTCACTTGTTGCCAGTGATGAAAGAGAGTCTGATGTGCTTGTTATTTAGCTAAAGTTTGCACTACCCAGGTCTTTTTGACCCTAAAGGGCATCCGTTGGTAAAGTCTTACTCCAACACAAAAATACTGCTTGCTTGCAACGATTTAGGTATCTACTGCCCCCTATCGCCAGGAAAAGTACACACTGTCACTTTAAGCTTTTTTAACAAAAAAGCTTTGTCAACTAATTAAACCCTTTTTATCTACAATTTGTATTAATTTTAAATGTTACAACTGAATAATGGGAAGGTTATTAAACTAATTATAGAATCCAAAAGTTGTCGTCAAAAGATGATCACCACTTGGTGTTTCCAC